AGTCATCCCTGTCAGCTGTGCAGTCTTAGAGCAGAGCCTGTACAGGCTCATAACACTGCCTATGCCAATGGCCAGGTTACCTGTCACTGCACAGCACTGTATGCAGGAGGCAGACTTACGAAGCGGCAGCTCCACCACCTCCAGCTGTTTACCAGTGTTCTCTGGTTGGGAGTTGCTGGCTGGGACGCCTGCAATCCTGGCCCGAACAGGCTGTGTGACATCACTGCCTTCCCAGTTGAAGTATAGCCTGACAAAAGTGAGGGACCTGATAGCAACACAGAAAGAACAAGAAACAGTCACAATAACAAATACTATGTAACGTTACATATCCCAGATTTATCAACTGAGAATTGAAGTGTTAAAAAAATTCCTTCTTTCTAGAGCTATTGTAGAATTCAATGTCACCATGTATGGTATGGGGCATCCTTAGCTTTAAACAAATTCAATTCTTCGAGTTAGACATTCAAAGGTCTGATGTGACAGATCCTATGATATAACGTATAATATATACCAACCTGCAAAACTGGTGTCACCCTGAATGGCATTTATAGTGGCATTTACAGATACAGATTTCTGCTAGTCTGTTTTATACAGTATCCTGCTGACAGGAGCTATATGGGCTAGGAAGTGGCTGGATAGCTAGGATACAGACCTCTGCTTGCTGCTTTTGACTTCCACAGTTGCCACATATTTGCCACACTCGCTGTAAACCAGCTGGTCTATGGCCGACACGGTCAGGAAGCCGAGCAGGTGCCTGCACTCCTGTGTGTCCACCTGGTACACCTCCACCACGTTGTGTACCGTTGCGATGAAGAGTTTGTCTCCGCAGCCGAAGATGACCTCTGGTTCCTGCTTGGTACTGAAGACCTCCTGAGACGTGAAGTGGTGGCAGGACAGAACTCGCACCATGGTCAACAAACTCCTGTAATACGGAACATGGGAAAAATGGTAAAGGTAACGTTACTGTAGCCTTTTTTATGTATAGGGGCAGTGGGTTACTATCCAGTGTGTTCTGAGCATACTACAAAATGTACTAGTTGTAACAGTTGGGGGTTTATAGGCGCTACCAACTGACCCAGCCAATGGGTCTAGACCTTTTAGCGGAGAGGTTAGAGTGTCTGCCTGTGGACTGGTGCTCGGGTTTGGTCGTGGGTTCGAACCCCAGCCCGGGACCAGTGGGGTTTTTACTGTCTCCTCCGGTTTCTTACACTGGTTCCCACACCGGGAATCGAACCCGGGCCTTGGCGGTGAGAGCGCCAAATCCTAACCACTAGACCATATGGGATGTCGAATTCGGAAGATTCGAGGACGAATCTTGAAAAGAAAAGGGGGAGTAGTGTAACAGTTGGGGGTTTATAGGCGCTACCAACTGGCCCAGCCAATGGGTCTAGACCTTTTAGCGGAGAGGTTAGAGTGTCTGCCTGTGGACTGGTGCCCGGGTTTGGTCGTGGGTTCGAACCCCGGCCCGGGACCAGTGGGGTTTTTACTGTCTCCTCCGGTTTCTTACATAGTGATTCAAAGTACTTCAACAGCCTTATACTCAACTGGTGGACAAGTACATCTACACTTTTCTTCTCGCTATCAAAAAAATCAACATTTCAGCAAGGACACATATAATGTCCTTGATTTCAGCAACTTGAGCAAGCCCCACTAGTACTACAAATGTAACCGTTATATCACTGGTAATGTTGCATGCTGTAGTTGCATACCTCAGCTTGCACTTGCAGCGGTGTATGAGACCTTAGCAGTTGCAAACACAATCTGAAACTCCAATAGTGAAACTTAAAAACGACAAACTGACTTACTTCCCAAAATCAGAAAGCTAAAAGGCAACTTCCCATTACTGTAAACAAACTGGTGCATTTCCAGTCACATGCGGACTGACCTTTGACCCGCAATGAGCACGCGTTCTGATGACGTTGCAGATTACGTGTTGATGATCACAATGGCGGAGGTTCAAAACTTAGTTTGGTTCCTCCGTCGTCAGTACAAGGATGCCGAGGAAACCATCGCGTTAACGGGACGCCAAGAGGTATGTGTGGCATCAGTATACTCTGTATTAATGTTCAAAAAGAGGATTAAGTCCTCCGTGCGTCTTGTATACTCGTTTCTGCACCTCGAAAGCTGTGCTATGCTTGGCAAAAATAATTTATGCGAACGCAACAAATCAAAGGGCAGGTTCGACGGTGTTGTCGCAGTTTGACAGCGATGTTCTAGACCAGGCGACGCTCTTTGATGTGCGAAGTGTTTTTAGTTCAACAACACATGTAAAAAAAGTGACGGCGCGTGGATATCGTTATGAATCTGAAATCGTTAATTGCCTATTTATCCCTTGGGATACGATCGCGTTTCTAGAGCTATTTGTCGAACTTAATCAAAAAGTTTCATCGAACAACTTGGTCAGCAAATCCTAAAGGCAGTGGATGTCGTTCGTTAGGGGTAAAGCGGTGCACGCGTGAGTTTGAATGACAGCTGCAGTACGTGTCTGACCCGTTATATGTCGTTTTCGTTGTTATAATTGCCAGTTTGACACATGCGCAAAAACTGGAGCGCCCTCGCACATGATTGGTCAGTCGTGCGTCCCTGGGGACAATACAGCCGTCAGCTGATCTTTGTTTATGTGCTGATGCAAATGAGCCCCATTTCATCATCTGATCCAGGGTAGAACTAGATCGATCCAGGGACTGCGCTGGGCTGACGCTCAGCTGGCTGAGAAGGTTGAGAAAAAATTTTTCCCAACTAACGTAGAACCGACAGTTTTAGATTTTTTATCCCATCAACGTGTACTGAAAAGTGCCTGTTGCGAGCCTGTGCTGAGTTGGAAGTGTTCCTCCCCCACAACTGGTCCGAGGAGGGGATTTTTTGGGGGACCAGCCCTGTGTTGTTGCTGGGCCAGAGGGAACATTCCAGCCCAGGTAAACAAAGATGGCCTTCAGCCTGCAGCAGCCCTGGCAAGGCACAACACAACTTGTTCCACACCTCTCCTCCACCATTGTACATCTGCATTCACTTTTTTACCTGTTAATTGTTTGATGGTGTACTTTTCTGTGTGTATTGAACCTTCCCTCCCTGGAGATATTTTTTCCTGTTGCTGTGCCATGATGTGTGGGAATTGTTGTGGTATCTCCCTGCTGTAGGTCTCTCTGGGAAGGGGCCTGGATGTGACACACCGGACCATACCCAAAGACACACCCTTCGATATGTTTAGTCGAAAGCATGCTATTTTCAGGCCCGCCACGGACGGGACCTGGACGGTGCAAGACAACAATGTAGGTATCATGGCGGCAGGCCTGACGTATTTTCTGTGTGAATTATTCATAATACCCAAAATTCTGTTGCTGCTCAGGGCAGGGGGCGTAATCTGCTGTGACATCACAACTGTGTAAGTGTAATCAGCTGCTCTCTTGGCAGCACCTAGGAGGTGCATTTTGTAGTTGCACAACTTAACAGTTTTCTTAAAACGTCAAGCAAAATTCACAAAACACAGAACGTTTTTCTTGATCTGTTCGCTCCTTTATATAAGATAAGGCCTTTGTTATTGAAGCCACCAGTCCTGTGACCCCAAAGTCCTCAAATTTCAAGGGGAGTGGCCAGGCTATTTACATACCAAGTGAGCTGCATCCTGTTTCTCAACATTCCATATGGATGACTTAAGAGAATATCTGGGGGTATCCTGTGGCAATGTCTACATTTGGGACAGCACCAGAAATATCACTGGGATCATTTTACTTGTCAGTTGTGGTGTGACATGCCTTAACATATTTAAACAGTTTCCAATGTGCATGTTGTAGTGTTCAAATCACTTAACATCACTGTTATAGATATTTCCAATAAACTTGCAAATTCAGGGAAGATGAATGTTTGTGTTTCTGCATGTTTGGTGCTTTGTGTTTTGTTCAGCTGCCTCAGCTTGTAGTTATTGAGAGACTTGGCAAATGATAAAAATAAGGGGAAAAATCAATAAAAACAACCTCCTATCCCCATTAATCTTTAGCCAGAAACCTGCAATCAAAGTGACAAATGCTTGCATGGACCTTTTATCTTTCTTTCTACTGATTGTTTCTGATGGTTGCCTTCTTCATGTTTATTTCATGCATGTATATTCATTGTGTTTTTATGTGATGTACAAAGAGATGAAATTAATAATGGCATACTGGGTATTTGATGTCATTTTTATACATGGTAACCCAGGAAGTGTCTTGTTAATATTGAATAGAAATTGATAGATTTTGAAAAATGTTTTGACTAAAGCCTATACTTAAATTGTATTTTCCGTGGTCTCTTTTTTTTCCAGACAATCAATGGCATATATATCAATGGTCATAGACTGAAGCCAGGCATTCCATTTACTTTGAAGGAAGGTGATAACATACAGTTGGGACTTCCTCCTACCAGAGACTCTGAACCCGAGTTTCTGTACAGAATAGTCAGGGATTATACCAGTAATATCTCAGGAAACAGAACAGACACTGATCACAGAAGCAAAAGGAAAGAAACAGCAGAAAATGCTGATCCCCAGAGCAGTAGACCGGGGCCCCTCTCACCACAGAGCTGAGAGCTCTGGCCACAACGGAGAAGACTCGAGCAGCTCGAAGAAGACTTGGCACATAAACAGAGAATAGCAGAGCGTGAGAAAGAGGCCGAGCAGAGGGTGAAAGATGCAGAAGCCCGGATTCAGAAAATGCAGTCACTGATCGAGGAGAAGGAGTTGGCTCAGGCGGCACTGCAGGACAAACTGAAGAGGAAAGAGCAGGAGATGCAGCAGGAGATGAGCCAACAGGTACTTGGGGTTGGAATGTGTTCTGCTGTGAGATCCCCAAGTAAACAGAAAAACAGCATCACTGAGACAGGAATAGTTCCAGTTTATTCCAGGTCACTGTCCCAGAATGTGGGTCCCTTCATGAGCCGTGGGGCTGCCGGCCTGATTGTGAGAGATTCCTTGGGTTGTTTTTACCCGAGTGAGGGTGGTGGGTATAATGTACAGTTATTGTTCTCGAGGAGGCATCGTCTAACACACATGCACTTGCATGTAGTTCCCAACACCAGCCCGCCGCGAACAGCCTGAGTGTGCCTGGTGAATGTTTCACCGCACACAGTATAGCTGTGATTGAACCGTGTTGTCAACATTCCTGCAGGTGGAGCCGTGACATAGTAACCTAACTGAGGCCTCTTGACTCCACACATCTTTGCTTCAAGACCTTTGATAAAACAGTCAGCATCCTTCAGAGAACCCTCCAAAAACAACGTAGTGAAGGCAAGACGGCCTTCCTTCAACTGAGGCTAGGTTTTCCTGCCAAAACAAGGGGAATGCAGTCCCCTCTACTGACAGAGAGAAATGAATGAAAAAAAGAAAAAACATACAAGATTTCACACATTCTCACCCATTGGAATAAACTGCCACCTCTGGCAGACAAACTGAATAAATGCAGTACATGTAGGTTGGTATCAGTCCAACACATAGTCCCTTATTACCACTTCTGTACACGTTGTCACTGCTTATTACTAGTATACGTTCTTTATTAGTGTACTGGCAGCCACTTGTTTGTCAAAGTGGAGCAGGCTGCTTGGTAATTATAAGATCGTTGAAAGACGTAGGTACCTGTCATTCTTCCGTTATTGGTCTGACGGTCAAAAATTGGGCACTGTAACTGGGCATCAAAAATGCAAGTATTGGAATCTGAGTCATATGATGATGTTTTAGAGGGTCATTTTTTTTTTTTGCTATACAAGAAAACCATAAAGCGATGAGCATAAAACCATAAAGCGATGAGCATAATACCGTCTGCTTAGAGAAAAAAGAGTTAAAGGAAAATAGAGGAATGCACGTCTGCCAGTCATGCAAGCTTGTCACTACGTTAAACCAAGGGCTTGTGTGGTGTCTTGAAAGAAAAAAGGTTCATTTTCAGGACAGGGCTATTTTTTTCAAAATTCATTATCAGGCTACTGTAAGTGATTCACTTACCAAATACTGGCATGTTCCAAAGTATTATTTCTGAGAAGAATAACTTCAATAAGTGTAGTAGATCAGTCTGTGGTTGAAAATAAATAAATGGAATACCTTATAAACAGAGTAGTTATAACAAACATCAGTAAAGCCACATTGCAAGGTGTAAGATGTTTCCGCGTTCGTGCTCTGTGTTTCCAGTATTCGTTATTTTTAGAGCTAATATTTTAAAGCCTGTAGATATGACAGAAAATAACGTCTGGTCCTATGAGATTCCAGGGTGGGTATTGTTGCAGCTTGTCACTCTTTTGTAGCTAAAGGTCAAATATGCACACCTCCGTTTCATTTAGATATATCTGAAATATGCCTTTCCAATGTTGTTTATCAGCCATCTCAACCTTTTTCTGCTCAGCACTATGCTTCTGCTTTTGTGCATTTAGTGTCAGTTTGAGATAACATCAAAAGTCATTGGAACATTAGCTTCACATCAAGTCAACATTAACGTATCAAGTTAATTTTCTTACACCTAAATTGAATGAAGGAGATCCCACATGGTTAGAACTTGGTCTCCAGTAATTCCATCATTATAGATTTTTTACTGGCACTGATCAGACTATAAGTAGAGACCACGGTACTGTAATTTGAATAGCCCACGGTTTGCAGGCTGATCAAAGCAGTGGAAGAAGGATTGGTAAAGGAGGCATTAATTTGGCAATATTCCAGATTTGGAAAAAAAGAATTTAAACAGCTCCAAGGGTAGATGGTACTTCAGGCACAAAAGTGGAGGCCATGTTTTCGTAGGCATTCCATGTACATTTGTACTTTGTCATATTAGACCAGATCTCAGATTTAAGTTATAAAAGCACCATGCAGACTCAAGTTGGGGGTATATGTGGTCATTTCTATGAGTATAAATGCTCCTGTGCTGTGGTAAAGCTGGCTTGTTTCTTTTCATGCAGTTTGACCAGCCCGGGCAGCCCCCCTGATATGTGGCAGGTTGTAATGGTACCAAAGTGACAGGCATTTTCACTCAGCTTTGATACTACTGGTAGTTGTGGGTTGGTCACTATAGTATCTGGTTCTTTGTTCAAGGTCTGCAACATCAAGATAGGACATATGTAACGGACATATCTGTACTCAGGAAAATAATGGCCCTGTCTTTGCTCTGTGCTTTGCTGAAGAATGCAAAGAACACCAGATTTTCAGCCAATAATCTGATTATCTGCAGCCAGCCATAGATCATCCATTCTAAGGCTTGATCAGTTCCAGGGGTTGAGTCACCTTGAACAGAGGTCATATCCTCCAAATAAGCGTGATGATGACCTTTAGCCTCAAAATAGAATGCAAAGGCATCACTCACTGTTAAGGCTGACAACAAAGTATTGGTGATGTTCGATCATGTTTATCAGTTCAATGAGCTCTTAGTTCCCAATCAAGACAACTCAAATTTCCAACATGTTGTATTTCCATCGTCTCATTTTCCAAACGTTATATTTCATGAGAACTCTGGTTTCCAAATATTGTATTTCAAGAGATCACTCATTTCCCAAAGGTTATATTTCAAGGGAGCTCTCATTTTCAAACATTTTAAATGAGCTCTAATTTAAAAAAATGTTGTTCATTTCCAGGAAACTTGCATTTAGAAAATATATATTTCAAGTGAGTGATATTTCAAGGGGGCTGTCATTTCCAAAACATATTTCAAAGAAATCTGCATGAATAATCTGTTTGATTTTAGAGGCCCAGGTAAGCATATTTATAACTCCATGTATGAATTGTGTATGCTTGAAGGGATCTCTTTACTGTTGCATTTAGAGTATTAGGTCACTCGTTGGGTTAATTACTGTGAGCAGTAATGTAATAATTAGCACAGATATACATAAAAAACAACTGAGAAGACATTGTCTTGCTTAATATGCCATTTCTATGGAAAGAATGATGAAAGAATACTAGTAATATGCTGAAAAAAATTTTCTTGTCAAGGGGTTGAAAATTGGCTGGGAACCAAAAATTATCAGACATGTCCATAATAGGCTCGCCTAGGCAAATTTAATCTCTCCAGGGAAGGTAGTGACATCATGAACAGTACATGTAGACTCCAACTTCTCTGGATCGTTGACTCATTGGTTTGGAAAGGATCTTATCACACACGTCCTGCCAATTCTTCATCACAGAGAAAAAGGAAGGGGAATGATTCTGTATGGATTGTGCAGCAGATGTAGTTATAGTTGGCTTCTGTGATGTTGCCAATTCTCCACAAGAAAAAAATTATATTGGATGTCCTCCCCCAACACGCCTGCTGAGCACATTACTGGATACAGTTCAGTTTTATCTGAAATGTACAATGAATAAGGCTCCGAATACAGGTAGGTATTATTTGTGAACATTAAAATCAACAAGAGTGGTTGTATTCAATTCTGTTGGAATACAGTGGCTATCATAAGTCTCCAATGGGGGACTAGGATGCGTCCCCACTATGCCCTTCACTTCACCATTGCCTCAGCCATGACTATCAGGATGGCTGCTCCCCTCAAAAATATTTTCTTCTCAGACATGAATGAAGATAATGGCATCTGCATGGACAGGTAACAAATAAAGGCTTCCCATCCTACACAGTCACCATGCAAGTCATCAGGCCTTACATATAAAATTTATGTACCTTGTTAAGCCAATTATGTTGGTCTCAGGGGTAGAGCAGTTGATCGGAATAAGTGGAGCCCCTTTAGACTAGATGTCTCCATGGATACAGATATATCCAGGTCACAAATCTACAATAGCTTCACATATTTCAGTTCAAATCTTGATCTTAATCTTAATCTGCCTAATGATCAAGGTGGAAAACAGGTGTGCAAAGTTCATTGCCACCAAAGGAATTGTCAGGTTGTCTGAAACTATCCTTGTATCAAGAACAATTTAAGATGGTACACTTTGACACAGCATGCTTTGCATCCATGTTGAAGAAAACATTGTCACAATATGTCCGAAAATCCAAATAGTCCAAGCACCAATCAACACCTTCACCGAGGCAGCTACATTGGTTAGCTGGGATTATGTCTCTTAAGAACCTGATTCTGTTCATAAAGGTTCAACCGTTGCGGACACATCTGTCTTTACTTCAGACTTACTTTGTGATAGTTGAGACAGATCACTGAAGCCCCTAAAGGTATTGTAGATGACTTACCAAGTAAACAGGAAATAGACTATAAAAAAGGGAGAAGAATCAGCTGATTTCAGCAGCTAATGAAAATAAACTCTGCTAATGGAAAGTGAATCAGCAAATGTAGTAAAGAGGGCCCCGTGCTGATAATTCTGAAGGACAGTGGGATTTGATTTGCATGAGTCATGTAACACAGATGACTCACAGTCAGATTCATCATTAGGATAATCCAGCAGTCTATTTTTCCTGGCCATGTTATAGTCTACATTGTTGAGGATAAACAAACCTGTGTCCTCTCAGGATTAACCTTAAGTCAGCCGTCCTGCCAGATTCAGCTGTTTTCCAGAGCCTGATAAAACAGCGCTGTAAACACCCAAGGTCATGGTCAGGAGTCCCCTGTTGTTTTTGACCCCTTTGGGGTTCAATGTTTCCCAGTCCCTAGAAGTATTACTTAAGCCACATTGTAAAATTTGGCAAGAGCCCAATGTGAAAACAGAGGGCTCAGAGAGAAACTCTGACTTCAGTCACTCCTAGTGCTGGTACATCAGGCACAGACTTCTTCATGTTGATCTTTCAGTTCAACAGACTGTTTTTTTTATGTAGGAAACAACAAATTCCCCTCTCAGACTCCCCCTCTTAACAAATTTGGGGACCAACAAATTCATTTGGTGTTGCTTAGACATGATGTGACCCCGAGATTTCCATAATGAAGGTGTTCTGTGTGCCAGTTTTACTTCTGCAGTACACAGAAAACAATGTAGACATAGTCAGAGACAAGCTCCATTATTTCTCCATTACTTCCAGCAGTTTGCTGCCTTATTTGATTCGGCTGTATGTGGTAGGAAATCATTATCATGTTCTCTCTCCCACCACTGCTTAGCTGTCATGTGCAATTTCAGTCTTCTCTTATCAGTGTAGAGTACATTTGGTCACAAAAATGTATGGCACCTGTCCATGCATTGATTTCAGTCAGTTTCCAATTTGACAGAGAGGTAACACATTCACAGCTGTGCTTTCTCTCCAGCAACACATTGTTAAGTCTAAAGAGCATCAGACTTCCATCATGTATCATATTGGGTAGAAAGCTTTTTCCACTCATTTTCATCATCTGAGCATTGATGTTAGCCGGATTCTTTGGAAGTTGTCAACATTTTTACCTCCAATATGATTTTTTTTCTCTAAAAATTTGCAGTTTGAATGTGGGTGTTTCAAACCCAAAGGTAGAAATCCTCCATGTTGGAGTTTCTATAGATCTATGACTGTGCTAGGAGAGGGATTGATTAGTCTGCAGCAACCAGGTGTATGAATATTCATGAACTAGAAACAAAACAAAACAAAACAAAACAACCACAAATTACTTTGGCAGCCAACATGAAAGTCAGCTTTTTTTTTCAAAATCCAGACACTTGAATATTTGAAATATATTTGAAATTTCAAGCAAGTGAAAAGTTGGCCATGAGAAAATGACCACATACTGGCCTTATCAGGACATTGAAGTTTTCAAGACTTGTGAAACCCTGCCTGTGTTGGTAGAATCCATGGTCAGTATTTTCCTGTAGGGTTTGGAAAACTAAGTAATGGACCAGATGTTTACAAAAGCTTGTACTTGTAACCACCATCTCCAAAATCACTTGAGTTGTGTTTTAGGAAACTCCACAGTCAGGATCATGTTACCCCTGGGCTCATACAGGTGCAACTCTGCACCCAATACTGGCTTTTAAAGACCTTCATCATTTAGATATACCCATTTTGAACCACATCATTAGTTTGGGGTCAACGTCTTCCATAGTCAAATCTTGCAACATCACTGCAGTGGAGACAATACAAATATATGTCTCTAGACCTGTAGTAGTGCATGTTTTTTTCAAAAGCCCTTTTTGAAACCAGTGACCTGAATCTACTTGTCTTCTGCAAAAAGGTACAGCATCCCAGGTAAGGTTAAGTCTTTTTGTTCAGCAATATACATCTGACAATAACCATGCTCATGGTTCCACCTGATGTATAACAGAGATTATATACATGTATGTATGTTGATGTATTTAGGGGGTGCCTTGTCACATTCATTTGAAATCCCTTGATGGTCAAGACTCTGTTAATTGTCCACCACACATTAAGCACCTTTTAGTGCAACTATTGCTATGTTGTAATACAATGATTGCTGTATTGTAGTACAGTCATTGCTTTGTTTTAATACAACCGTGGCTGTGTTGTAGTATAACTGTTGCTGTGTTGTATCATAACCCTTGCTATGTTGTAGTACAACCATTGTTGTGTTGTAGTACAAAAATGGCAGTGTTATACTATAACTGTGGTGTTTGAGCACAAACATTGCTGTATTGTATTACAACCTTTGCTGTGTTGAAGAACAACCATTGTTGTGTTGTTGGTAGTACAACCATTGCTGTGTTGTAGTACAATCATTGTGTTGCGTGTAATGCAGGTGGTGCGGCTGGAGGAGGAGAAGCAGCAGATGCAGGCAGAGCTGCAAGAGATGATGACTCGGGAGATGCAGCAGAAAGAGCAGGAGCTGCTGGAGCGTCTGGAGCAGCAGAGCCTGGCGCTGCAGGCGGAGAAACAGCAGGTGGGAGAACTACACATGATACTGTAAGACACTGTTAGTTTGTATCCATTTCACATTTGTAAAGTGTACAGATGGAAGCACAACATGTGGGAACTCTGCTCACTTACAGCTACAGGTGAATGTGGGCTTGCCCGTGGTAACCATCATTCATCTTATAAATTAGATTGTTCAGTGCATAACAAAATGTATGTGCATGCACAGGAGATTTGACTTGACTTTATTTGGATCCACAAAAAAGATGCTATAGGTGGAAGAGCATCTTCAGCAGCAGCTGGCCTGGAAGTGTGGGTAAAGGGGTGAAGTCTGCCATCTCTGATTGCCTTGTTGTTTTCCGTGTCAGGTGGAGGAGCGTCTGCAGCAGCAGCTGGCCCAGCAGCTGGAGGAGAAGGATAAGGACCTGGAGGAGCAGCTGCTGAAACACAAGGCTGCGCTGGACCAGATCATCTCACAGAAGGAGCGCGAACACTCCGACCTGCAGGCCAAGCTGCTGCAGAGCAAGGTATGACATTCGCTTACCTGGCTGGCAGTTAGGACTTTTAGAAAGACATTAGCGTAACAGCATTTGTGTGGTCAATTATTGGTCAATTCTTTTCTTATGTTGTTTTGTTTCTTTGCCTGATTGTCTAATGACTGAAAAAAGATTTCTCCAGATTCCTGGCAGGTACCTGGCAGGTACATCTTACAGGGAGTTACCTGCGAGATACCTACACTTCAGCAAGCAGTTTTAAGACAAATGGGCTGATTAAAGTGATAACCTTTTGCAGCTGGAGAAGGAACAACAGGAGCAGTCTGCACAGAAGGTTCGTGAAGAGATGGTGGAAAACGTCACCAATGTGATGGAGTCAGAGCTGCAGTGTAACATCTGCACTGAGCTGTTTGTACAGGTGAGCCGTTCTGCACAGTAACAGACATGGTTTGTGAAGAATATGACTTTGTCTTGTAGATATTTTGTTGAACATTCATCCTGAACTCTAAGTACCAGGTACACACATACAGTTTTTGGCTTTCCAAACATCTGAATCAAATTTGAGTTTTCTGTAAAAGTTACTCCCATATGTTTTTAGAAAGTTCTGTGTCCTGACAACCCTAATCCTATGTCAGAACATAGGCTGTTGTAACCTAAGGGTGCCGGGACATATGGGGTGTCAAGACATACATGTAGAGCTGTCCCCGTCCATAAATGCATACCCATGCCAACTCTCCCTCCCCAGGCCACCACCCTCCACTGCTCACACACCTTCTGCTATGCCTGCATCCTGGAGTGGACCAAGACCAGGAAGATGGAGTGTCCGACCTGCAGGACCAAGGTGACCAGCCAGACCCGCTCCCTGGTGCTGGACAGCTACATCGACAAGATGGTGGAGTCCTACAGCAAGGAGCTCAGACAACACAGGATGGCACTGCTACAGGAGAGGAAAGGTAAAGACACCAGTCCTGATTGTTTTATATAAGACATGTGCTACGGTAACAACAATCCAGGAAGGATAGTGGTGTTTTTTTGACTGAATCAAAATCTGAACTGCAAGAATCTCAGACAACACATTATCAAGATGAAAGTATACATCTGCCAACATTTTGTAAGTCTGGATGACTGAAAATGTAGGCGTCTTGTTTTTTGCCATGTTTTTTTTTCAAGCTTGTGCATTAGATTTGGAGTCTGCAAAAGGTATCATCCATAGAATTTGCTTGCAGTAGCCTCATAACAGAAAACTTGCATTGCATCCATGCAGAGAAAGTGGCGACGTTGGAGCAGCAGCGAGCACAGCAGGGGAAGGACTCCCCCATCAGTGTGGGCAGCGCCAGTTCTGACGATGAGCCTCTGTCCGTCAGCTCGGGCTCGGGCTCCGGCCGGCTCCCAGTGGACCCAGAGCTCCTCCTCCTCACACAACTCCTCCCCTCCGCACTCCAGGGGCGGAAACAGTGCCTCCATGGACAATGACTTTGTCCCGGGAGACCCCATGGCTTACTACGGAGGCTATGGGCGCTGCCACATCTGTGGTGAGTTCAACGGATCAAACTTCTGTTGCAGAAGATTGTGATGACTTGAAAGTAAATATGCTTTGTTTGCAACTGCAATTCTCTCACCAGCTAACGTTTTGGCAACTTGTTGGGTCAGCAAGGAGTAGCAGAGGTTGTTGCACCCTGATAATCAAGGCAGCTGACGAGGTAGGTGAGAGAATTGTGGTTGGGAACAAAGAACTTTATTTTCAAGTGACCAGATGGAGCTAAGAAGAATGTACTGGTGTACATGCACATGTACAATGACACCCCTCCCCTGCCCCCTTAGTTATCCTTATATAGATGTGCAGTTTAACAAATTACAGTATCCATCTATTCTATGTCTTTGTAATGAAGGAACAATAAATCATAAGGAAATCCTTAAACAGTAGTACTGTATTATTTCTGTGTTTGCCAACATGAATTTTGACATCATCTTTAAATGGAAGGCCACCTCAAGTCAAGGTTTTGCTCTGACCTTTTGCATTTAATACGTCTTCCAGTCCTAAGCCTCTGGCACTGAGATTTGGAGCAAGATTGTGAGTTTTCGTGACCTTCAGGTGGTTAGGTAGATGGTTGTATAAAACAGGCATGTCTGTTAGTCTGACATTGTTTAGAAGTCTACGGTAACCTTTAAGATGCATGAGGGCCTCAAAACTGTGCTGGAAAAACATCCTTGTCTGTTGACTTTGATGTTTAGCATTTACCAAGACTCATGATCCAAATATCAAACTCAACAGACGAACATTTTACATAGCCAGGATGCCACCCTTCGTAGCTTAAGTCCACTCCCACAGATTGCTAACAAGGCTAGATCTTATGAGCACCGGAAACTTTGTCAGACTTGTAGGCGTGTAGAGTTTTTCCCTACCTGATGTGACTGTTATATAAAGAGGTTTGCTGGTTGTGTGTTGGCTGCAGGCAGGCGAGGCCACTGGGCTCCGGGATGTCCCTACAGACTTAGGTTCTGAGGAGGGGCGCTGTGCTGTAGGGTCGGACAGGCTAGGGCATTTAGGAAACAAAATAACTGAAGGAAAAGAAGTCCCAGCAATACCTCATTACTGCAGTCTAAGAAATCAAGCATTCTGCAATCGGTGTGATGCTAAGAGTAAGAGGACAAGAAATACTAAGAATATTCTTTATGTACCGGTAGTGATCCTCACTCGAATGTTGCCTCGTAAAAAGAGGATTTTTCTCTCAATGCTGCTTCAAACGTCACCATGTGGTCTACTTGAAATGAGTAATAGGAGCAAAGGCAGCTGTCTTGTGTACAAGGAGAGTGAATAAAAAAGAGTTGAAAATGAACTTTGTGGATGTTGTTGTTGTTTTCAGGCCATCGGGGCCACTGGGCACGGGGCTGTCCATTCAGGTACCGCTGAGGGGCCGGCGGGGTGTATGAAGTAAACAGGCTGCCGGCATGGCGTAGTCTGGGGAGTTAAACACTGGGACAGAGAGGAGTGGATGGGGCTTGGCGGGCCTGGATGGTACTGGTGCTACACGTCCAGCCGGCCGCCTTGTACGGCCAACTCTGCACCATTCCAGCTTCTTTCTTATCATCATGAAGACATGCAAGGGCACACACATGCTGTACTTTCCACCATCCAGTAGTTTGGGTTCAAAAAGCTGTAAATCAAAGACTTTCTCATGTGTTGTCAGCTTGAATGGCAAGAACTTGCAATGATACAGGATTATGTACTAATACGGGATATGTAATGTTGCTACATATCACAGATGTATATGCAGGCTCGTATATGAAGTGTATAAATGTTTGGTTATGAACTACATAGTGTGGTTTAAACCACCTTTACCTTGATGCTGGTGTTGGCAATAAGGATTGGAAGGCTTGGAATTCAGTATTATGCTCTGGTGGTGTTAACTGTGCCCTTGCAAGTCCTTCATTAATGTATGTTTGCAAGTGTTAGAAGTTATGTGGCAGACTTGGGCCAAAGAAGAGTATTTCATTGGGATAGCGGGTACGTAATGTATGATAGGCTACCCCAATTTCATCAGTTGGCTCTCAGACTTCAAACTGGAAGGAAACATGATGGAAACAGTTTTTGTGTACCTTTGGCTTGTTTTTGCTTGTGTTCATGGTGGTCTCATAGGTAAAATCCTGTTAAACATTTTGACCACCTTAAAGTATTTTAGAATTAACAAGCTCAAACTCTAGTTTACTTGGAGATTTCTATATGATTACCTCTGTTGTACCAAAACTGAATTCAACCTGATGTTACAGTACATTGATGGGAAGATTTATGAAAATAGGACAGATTACAGGGCAATTTGCCATGTAACCAGGATTTTACATGTTGACACATAACTTGATGAGTCTGAGAGCCAAATAGAGAAATTGGTGTCTGACCCTCAGACATAGGAAGGGGCTAGGTGTGGTAAGAAGATTATGGTAGGGTTGCTGACATACATACAGACAGGTCATGTCTGATACTGTGTTGTGCAGTTTGTCTCTAGCCTGGCAACCGTCCATTTTAGCTTCAATACCAGGGCTCTCTCTGTATCTACATTTGTCTGTGTCCTTTGTCCATGATCAGTTTCATAGAGCAAATATTCCCTGCAGAGTCCTGAGGGTGTGAAGGATCTAGGGGGTACCATGGGAAAATTTTGGACTTCTGGAAATGTATGATTTCCTGCAAGTAATGAAGGAGCCAAATTTCAAATGGCTTCATCTTGATTTTGTGACCTGCAGATAGTTTGCAACCTGATAAAAATGTTCCAAAGTTTAGATTTTTTCTGTCAAGGGGAATGGAATGGCAACTTTGTCTCAACAAGCAAAATTGTGTTAAAGGACAGGAGGACAGATACTAGAGAGCCATATCGCATACACTCCAGCAGTCACTCCACCTTACTGAAACTAAAAGGGGATGGCTACCAGGCTAGTTTGTTTTACAAAGCAGAGATGTAACAATGCTGATTTTTTTTGTCTCAGATAACAAAGAATTAATGCAAAATTATCTTGTTGCGCTTTGGATGAAAGAAAATCCTCAATGATGTTTTATAACTTTATTTTATTTTGGATATAAAAAAAGGAAAAATATGAGATGAGATTATAAGCAAAAAAATAGTTACATGTCTTGCTTGTTGATACCAGGCCACACCAATTTAATTTCTAGCTTTTCTGACATTTGTATGAAAATAATGTGAGCAGGCCAAAAGAAAATAACTAAAAACATATCAGGCTTATGTTCATTTCAAACTATGATTTTTTAAAAACTTTTATTATTTAAACTGTACCAGCTAGGAAGACAAGGACTGCTGCCTCAAAATAATGGTGTCAAAATATGACCATTTTGGGGTTGATTTGTATCCCGAGTAGTACATTGTTGTTTTTTTAAAGCTGCAAATCCTAGAACCAGGAAATTGAATTGGTATGGTCTGGCTATAATATAGTGTGGAAATAATTCATATGTATGTAGAACTGGGCCTGTACAAGTGTGGGCAGTAAGTGATGTACAATGTATATAGATCAGACTCAGAGTGAAGAACATGTATTGCTGTATTTGTCAGACACAGGTGCATGGATTAAGCATCTACACCCTTGCACCTTTCATTGCAGACATTATTGAATGTACGTTGTACATGTCACCTGGAGTTTCAACTGTACTGTGCAGCTAACAATACTATCATCATGGATTTGCAGTGTGCCCCAAATTAAACCTATGTAATGTAACCAATTGTTAGCACTGTGTACTGCTGAACCTGTGTCTGACAAAGCAGTGAAAGCTGTGTGAATACCTGTTAGATGATGAGTGTAACTGAACTGTACTTGAGACGTAAATGTGAAGCTGATGCATTTTATGCCTTGCTGACTCACAAACTTGTTTCATGATTCTTTCAACAGTCTATTGTTTTGATTTGCTATCCTGAGGTTAGTAATGTATTTTGACATTGCCTTTGTTTACCCAACCTGGTTTAGTTACCCTCTGGACCCTGGGAAAGGAGAGGCAGGGGGCTAAGGTGTGGAGAGAACACCTGAATCATCAGAAGGCAATCAGGATATTATGATGTCTGGTTAAGAATATGTACCCTAGCCTGCTTGTTAGGTCTGTGGATAGGTACTAGTACATCCCACATTGGAAAGACTTTGGCCAACTGACAGGATAGGAACATCATTACTGGTATCATAGTTCTTTTAGTGAAGGTGAAACCTGACAATCAACATCCTTGTATTTACAATGTACCTACTGCCTAACCCCGCAATAAATATAAAATTGGTGTCAAAGGGCTACCACAACAGGGAGGTGGTTAATACACCAACCCCTAGCACAAAAAGACTGCCCAATATACCCCAATATGTCAACTTTTCTTCCCTTGTGGGTTACCCCTCTGACAACAATATCTCTTACACACAAATTTAATTTGTTGGTTCTCTGATGAACTGGAAGAGCAGCATAAAAACAGAGACCAAGGACTAAGTCTGTTTTCCTTCCAGCTGTTTTTTATCTTTGCCTCTCACAAAATTTTAATGTTAAATCTCTGAGAACCAAGATAATAAATTGGTGTGGCTGAACATCTTTTTTTTATAAGTTGTGCTTTCTGCACATTATCATGTCAAAGCCTATGAATTCAATGTAAGAAATACCCTGGTACTAGTTTGTAGCCATACATTTTGATGATAACAAGATATGCTCATATTGTTCTGTGTTGGCTCATTCTTTATTGCATATTTTTAAAATGTTTTCACACTGTTTAAGTGATTTAGCTTGATTTCGTCAGGCTATCTAACAATCACGTGAAAGCATGTTTTGTAACAACTTCTTAGAAGGTAGCACACCACAGAAGTCCCATTGTTGCCTCAAATTTCCGAATTCATCTCAAATCCTTAAACTTGGCACATCACAACAGCCAGATGTAAACAGAGGTAGACACATGGAATTTGTCAATTATTTCTCACATCACTTCTCCAGACCTTTTAGGGCAAGATTACTTTTAGTGATAAACTCAAGGTATTGGTTTAAACAATACAAAATGTTGCTACAAAATTAATTCTACATCATGTAACTATTTTTTTACAGTGTCTCCTTTGCATCACGTTCATAGACAATTACAACAGCAGTAAGATAGTTAAGGAGTAGTCTTTATTAATGGCATTAGCTTTGGTCAGGTCATTCACATCTGTGTACATGATAGTAAGCACAGTATACCATTTACATGTACATTTACAAGATTAACTTGGTCCTCTTTTAGATTTATCAGAGCAAACATGAGTTTCCTATGCCAACACTAGTTATCAGATGTAACATAACGTCACAGTGTTACAAAAGAAATTGTCATCTTTGTCTAGCTGATATCAGTTTGACCTTTCACCCAACCTGACCCCGCACAGACCCCTCCAGCTGGCTCATCTGACTCAGCAGTTTGTGAAGCAGCCTTCATCTACTGTGCAGAGCAGTGGTGAAACCCAACCATACATCAACAAGCAGTTATCCCACACAACAGCTGACACTGTTTAAACCACCAGGCTGGATAAAAACCCCAGGACAGGATGCAGTCTGGCCAGTACTCCAGACTATAGGGGGATCTGAGCCAACTTAAATGGTGTGTGGGACATTCCACTACAAAAAGGGGTGTCCAAAATGGCCCTGTGGTGGGAACACTGAGTCAGCGGATGACAGCACCCTACAACAGGTGCAGTGTAGGCTGAAAGTCAAGACAGAACATGAATCAGTTTGAATCATGTTCTTGCTGTAACCTGTTTGCTTAGCTAGATTCTTTGGGACATTACAGGCACTAATGCCTTGTTTCTGGATCCTGTATACCATAGGATGGAATGAGAAATTTGTCTTGTATTGGCCTCTCTTTTTATGTGTGCCTGGTTACATTTGTACAGGTTAATTGACTGCTTGGCAAGTTTGCTGACTGCTTAACTCTCCTCCTTTTTGGGCCTCTTCGATGTTGGTTCTCCCCTGCTTTGGTATTCCTGGTAATGAAAGAAGGATGAAATACTTTGCTGTGATCATGTTCTCAATTTTTCCCCAACATTCTAGAAGTTAAACATCATGAAATACAACATGTACAAATGTATGCTTCAGAGAGAAGGATAGACCCTTTCTCAGTTCTTTCTGTCCTGTTGAGGGACAGTCAAAAGGAAGAGCTAGAACAGGATGGATATACCAGGCTAGGCTACTGACTGGTGCAGTAACATCCTTACCTTCAGCACACTGATGATGGTTGTGACTTCAGGCCTGTCTGTGGACACCTTACTACAGTGGACCATCAGGGCATGACCTTGTGGGTCGAAGATGAAGTCTCCTCCCATCTGTGAATAAACACACATTCTAAGAGGAATAAACACACATTGGAAGAGTCTGATCCTTACAAGGTGAATGTAAAAATTGTTGTTAAGGATTTTACAGCACAGTACTGTACCTGATGGGGGTCGTCCTCTACGTTCTCTATATTTCTTTGGCAGCGTTCGTCCTGCAGCCTTCTGCTCAGCATAGTAAGTTAGGGCAGTGACAGACCAGACCTGTGAAGGAAGGGTACTATTTATACCATACCATCTTGTATTCTTTATACAGCCAGGTACAAGATATCTATTCATCCACATAAGCAAGAAAGTAGGAAGGCAAAAGTCAAAACATAAATAGTCTTACCTTGGATACTGATCTCCCAAGGCCGAAGGCACCATACAACTGAAAGGAACAAAAAATACATCTAATGTACAGCCACATGTATGTTTCCATACTACATTAAGTTATTCCCCCAAAACATACATGAAAAATACAGGAAACATTCCAAAGTACATTTTGTACATCTATGCAAATAACCCCTCGGAAGGAAGCCTGACAGTATGTACTTGTACATTGTTGGGCCTATCTGAAGCTCAATCATATCTAAAGTACCTTCCTGTCCTGGTCCAGCAGCATGTCATAGGAACAGCTGGTGTCCTGTAACCATCGCTGTGCACCTGTCTGGGACCCGAAGGACACCACCATCACACGACCACCTGCAGCCTGGATCTCAGCCTACATAGGGACAGCAACACTGAGTTACTACCTAACTGACTAACATACAGACAGACCGGGGCACAGTCACTGACTAACATACAGACAGGGACATTTTGGAGAGGATATCAGGCCATTGTCCCCATGTATGGAGGAGCCTCATGCATTTAAACTCTGCAGGTAAAGAACCCAACACACTGAAACTGCACATGCAGACCTGTGGCATATCATAGACCTACCTCCTGGGCCTTGATCTGGGTGATGTGGTCTCGTCATGGCAGTCAGGCGAAGTGTCTGAGGAGCACCAGTATCAGACACTGGGAGCCCAGGTAGTCCTGCAGGTTCACTGATCTGAGGGGGCAGAGAGGGTACTGGAGCAGCTGTATCTGTATCTGTACAGCCGGTATAGCTACCCCTTGGTATAACACACCAGCTTTTCAGACATGCAGTGTGACGTCAGCCTGTCATACTATACTGAATGACCTGTCACACTGAACTGTTGCAAATGTAACAGTGTTTAAGAAGTCAATGACCTGTTAACGGTTGCTGGACCTCCTGAATTTACTATTAAGTGTTGCAGGCCCTCCAAAATTTACTGTTAAGCACTGCAAGAATCCCACCATGCAGACCATAGATATTCTTACCTCCCTGTTCGAGCATCTACCAGAGGAACGTCCACCGGTCCCAGAGATCCCACACGGAGGTCCTCCCCTGCCCTGTCTGCATTCAGCTGTTTGTCTACATCCTGCAGAAACCTGTCCCACTGCTCCTGTGGGGAGACAACCTTGTTTGGTTATCACAAGCAACAGCAAGTAAATTCTATGGATGACATGATCATTGACATCTGTATGTACATTGATTTTCCCCTGATTTAAAAAAAAGGAAGAACAATAAATTTTGTTGGGAATCCAAAATATTGCAACAATCACCAACATTCAACACCGTTAATCAATAATCATCTATACCTCACCTCTACCTCCCACAAGTCTTCTACTGCAGACTGTACAGATGGATACCTGTAAATCAAGAGTGAAACCATGGTGACAAGGGTGTCACATTAAACAAATATCATTTGTATAACACATCATATCATATCATTAGGTATGAAATAAAGTAAGAGGAGGTTTTTCCATGCTTAAAGTTCATGGTTGATAATTCTGTATTACAGTAGTAATATATTGGAAAAGCATATTTGCTGTGTCATGAATTTGCAGTGGAGATATCGTATCTGTTTTTAATTTTTATTTGACCCAATAGTTCAACATTTGATTTTGAGCTCCTTACCTATACAGGTGTTCCCACAGTCTCTCAGCCTCCAATCTAGTCTTGACACATAACCTGCAGGTACAAAATAACATCTAGCCTTTTTCTAGGGTCATTACATTTCACTTGAACATTCAGGAAAAAAAGGAGTGTGTTATAAAAAGAACCATGATTTCTACTGTTATGTGATTAGCTTGTTCAAATCAGATCACCAAAGATGTCTTCCTACCTGGTGAGGAAGTTGTAGTAGATTCCGATCAGTCCTCCCAGACATCCCACCCTGTGGTCCATAAAATCATCCAGAGACTCTGTATTGGGAAGATGTGTAAAAGTTAAGAATTATCCAGACGAGCAGGTGATACTTCCCCTTAGGCCAGGCTGGATGTATGCAAGGCAGTGAAATTAGTGTAGCTAACACCTGTTTGGTAGATGTGTTCCAAACACCTGTTAGGTAGAGGGTGTTCAAAACACCTGTTTAGTGGAGGGTGTCTCAAAACACCTGTTTAATGGAGGATGTCTCAAAACACCTGTTTGGTGGAGGGTGTCTCAAACACCTGTTTGGTCTAAGGTGTTCCAAACACCTGTTTGGTCTAAGGTGTTCCAAACACCTGTTTGGTTCAGAGTGTTCCAAACACCTGTTTGGTCCTGAGTGTATTCAAACACCTGTTTAGTGGTGAGTGTTCTAAACACCTGTTTGGTCAAGGGTGTTCCAAACACCTGTTTGAGCACTCAATTCGCTTGACTAGTACACTGATTGCTGAGACCGGAACACCACTCCTACTAGCATCGGTACAGTGGACTAATTTTCTTAGGGCCCATTGAGGGTTACGCCAGGTGGGCTTTCTCTTTCAAATAGTCAGCTGCGTTTTATTTTACCTTTATACTGACACGCACACCTGTTACTTACTCACCTTTCACAAAGTTCCTGGCTCTCTCCAAGAGTTCCTCCATCTCAGACACGGTTTTTGAGACGTTGTCAACCAAAGACGTTGGACTGGAAGCTACATCTTCCTTGTCCATCGTCTTTTCTCAGCGAAGGCACTCTTCCAATTCAACCGTTCTGCGTTCATGAGGTCAGTCAGCTGATTGATAATGTAAACACGACACACTGACCACAGGCATGTGTCACGTGTGCCCCCCTCCCACAATTCACGATCCAAACTTAAAGTGGGCTAGTTGCACGCCCAAGTTCTGATAACCCCTACTACGTATACGTCTGGTATCCAGATGTTGAATCCATTGTCCCACTGCTTCAATGTCGTCGTCGCGACAGGAAAGGACACTAAACCACGAACCTCCTCGGAAAATTATACAGAAGCTTGCTGAAGTCAACAGCCACTTCAGGGTAAAAGCGACACCTAGTGGAATACCTTGTTATTAGCTGCTAGCGTATACATGTACGTAGGGCTCGACGTCAGACACACGGTCTCGTGCGTTCTCATTGCGGCCAGAGGTATTATCTGTTCAACGTACTAAACGTTACCGTCTTCTCCAACTTGACACATTATGGCTGTTTCAGAAAGGAATAGAAAAAAATAAGCAAGATGGCAGTTGGACAACCTCCGACCTTTTCTTTACAGCTTACATGTACAATTACAAGTTAAGCCTGGTATTCAGACTGCATGCGCAACGTACTTTTCAATCGAGGTTGAGAGTGGCCTAAATAGGGGGAAAATATAAGTATTTCTATTCATGCAAATCACTAAACTACCTTAAACACAAGCACAGGGTACCTTGGATTGACGACAACAAATTAAGGTGACCAGCCAAAATATGGCTTTATTCACCTCCTCAATGTTTGTTTTTTAGGCTATGGGCTAAATGGTTACTGGGCAGCGGGTTTAGGCGGTCTCAAGTTGAAGTAGCAGAACCCTCAGATGTTTTGCTTGACCAGCTGGATGTTGAAATGGTCACTCACAATGAAAGAAACTGACGCCCGCGGAAGCTTATGGCGAGACGATTTTGTACTGACGAATCATGCTTCCAGCAGAATTCAAAGCGTTTCCTGTTAAATTATAACGTTAATATTTCTTCAAATCCCAAATTGACCACAATCTACTAGAATGTCGATAATTTAACACGATGGATAAAAGTCATACCAAAATGTTACGGCGTACGTCACAGCAGGGGGTCAACAAGGCTAATAGATAGAATCAGTGACGTCAGAGTACAGGTATGACATGCGTCGGACGGTATTGTTCAGTTCACACGTTGTGTGTAAATAACGTTAACGCCAAATAGAATTTGATTAATGGACAATCACACGTACAAAGGCTTCTCAGCCTCCCACTGGAATACATACATGAGTGAAGCTCAAAACATTTTGATATCATATGTGGTTGAAAAAAATGGCATATTATAACGCCATAAAGCGTAACACCCAGCAAGGCACTTAGTAAACCTCCGTTGTGTATTTGCTCTCTGTTGCAACTTGTATGCCCCGTGAAGGTATTTACCGTAAGAACAAACTGCACCGTTAAAGCCAATCTGGTCACCAAATGAAGTTTAAAGCTGCCGTGTGTCGTGTGTCTTAGAGAAGCAGGTAAAAGATTAGTTGACACGGAACTTTGGATAAACTGAAACTGTACGTAGAGCGTGGGTCTCGACTTGTAAACACGCCCATTCACATTTACCTGGCGAAGGCAAACACACCTTTGGACGCAAAGTCAACAACAGGGGTCACATAAAGTTAGGTAATGAGTAAGCGACGCCGTCCGAGACGGGGTAGTGTAGTCGCCGGATGTAGCTTTCAGATGGGCTTCCGAGCTGGCTAAGCTCCCCATTTCCACTCTTCATGCCACTGTAGAAGGCGGGAATTCTTCGGCTTTGGATCATTCGTTACCCCTAATACAGACATGGCCCGCTCTGTAACATTCTGCCTCCCGTTGTTGGTCGTGTTTATCCTGGGGTTGTTCTCTCCGAGCGGGCGGTGTTTCATACCGATGGTCGGGATAAGCTTGAACCCTACAGACCAGGACTCGGACGACAACTGGTCTCACGGCGCTATCACACGCCGGGCTCTGCTAAACGTCGCCGCGGACTTCCAGAGCTCCCAGCTGGACTGCGACGTCGGCGACTTGCGCGACGTCAAGCCGGACAGGATTTTTCAGGAGATTTCTCGGTTGTTCAGGCGATGCTACGGACAGGTCGTCTCCGCTGCACGGTTCTACCAGGCTGCGTTACAGGTAGGTTCGTCTAGCCTTGGTAAAAAGATAACAATCGATTCAATTGTCCGTTTTAACTTTTAGTCATATCGCCCTCCAGCAGTTATTAATCTCTAGACACAAAAGCGTATCTGTGCATTTGTGTTGATGTGAATTTTAGTCTCCAAGCAGATGTTAGAGTTTTGAATACAGTAATCGTAACGGTCTCCTTGTCTGTGGTTTTCCTAGAGTATTAGGATCTTCGGACTGCATGAGCATGCATGTCGGAATTCAAGGACAACCAGGAAATGTTACAATCTACCATTCAGAACATTTGATTGGAGGTTATCATTAATAGTCATCGTAATCATTCATAAGTAGTGAAGAATGCTACCGACGTATGAAACGGTGTAAAACATCTGCATGAAGCTGAAGATTACCGGTACAGAACGACTGGGCTGCTACTGGTATGTTCTCCGAGCAGAAGGGAGGGAAGTTGGGGTGGAAGGTCGTAACGTTTTCTGATTGCCTGGCTTCTCTTACCCACCCTGAGATGTAATAGAAGTCAGGCAGTCGATCCGAAAACGTTACGATCTTCCACTCTAACACTCCTCTGGCCAATGGATACTGCCTTGCCACCGTATGATCTGCTTGGAGATTAGCGTCTAACCACCTGTTGTTCTGTTGTGTACATATCAGCGTGCACATAGCGCACGGCGCGATGTCATGACGACACCGATACTCGATAGATTATCTGCTTGGAGTTCACTGGCACAGAACGAAGATTTAAAGTTGAAAAGTTGACTAAATCCTGATGGTGTGAGGTCCGTGATGAAGGCTAGACTATACATGTCACTCAGGCTTAATCCAGGAAAGTGATAAGGAAAAGGGGATTAGCCCAGGACAAGGAGAAAGGCCCATTGATATATCAGAGAGTCTGACCAGGGGAAAGGAAGTGAGTGAGTCAGGGGACGGAAAGGAAAAGTGAGACGAAGAATGTAGAGTGACCAAACAGCTTCTTCGTTGAGTACTTGATCCACAATGGAGTGAGATGTATCAGCTGGTGGTCGGGTGAAAGTTTCATGTTAATCGTATGCGGGGCATTGTGGAACCCGGAAGTGTGTCACCGCTCAGCTTCGCCAATTAAAATAGCTTCGGAGTGAACGGAGCAGATGAATCGGTCTGAGTTATTTTGTTGGTCTTTCGTATTAACAGAAACAGGCGTAAAACACTGAAAATGAGCCAGGTCCTTACATCTGCTTGGTGACTGAACAAATGAGGTATCTGTACACAGTCTTCCCAGCCAGAAAGACACAGACAGATACATGCCAAATACCTCGCCACTTAATTAATTAGAATTGAGTAGAATTAACTCTTCAAGAATTTCAATACCCAAAAGGCTCGGGAACCAACTTACACATTCACATTCTCCCACAGCAGAGCTATCCCGCGGCAAACACGTTTAGCCTTAGGATCAGTGGTTCCGTAAGGCTATATACGCCACGGAAGCACCTCTGCCTCGGGAGAACTTACAGTTATTGACTGAATAAAGACAGGAAACATTTCCGTCTCTTTCATGTATAATGGAAGAATAACCATATCAGTGTATAACACATGGATTGTTGACGTAATACTCACTAACGACTTGTGTCATACCCAAACAGATCGAGACGGCCAATGGCTGTGTGGACTTAAACTTCGCCACTAAAAAGCTGCCGTCCGCTCACTTCGACGCTGAGCGGTTCGTGGGCGGGAACGAGCGCCTCCTGGAGCTGAGAACGCAGGTCCTGACGGCCATCGGGCAGGGCGAGTATGAGGCGGCTCGGGTCTACACGGGACAGCTGCTCCACACACTACAGGTAAAGAACCTGTCACATGTTCAGGACCTTCCTACGACTTTCACCCGACCACATCCCAACTGTGACCGGCGCTCAGGCGTGGGTTGCACATTATGAGATCGTCTTTTCCAAGCAGGAATTCCTGTATGAAATCTTTGCACCCTCGGTAGCCCTCCTTAATGAGTAGCTAAGCACCACATTAGACGCGTTTTATTGAAGTAGCTCCGTGCGCTTGGTCCCCGCTACGTCAGAAACATCGTGGCTGAACTGATAAAAGTATAAATATATGTATCGTACACCTGCTGGAAAAGGATTATCTAATGGTTTTTGCGCCTTGCCTCATTACATTTCGTACGCAGCAAGAACTGCACTGGTTGGCACGTCACTTCGTTTCTCTCTCATTATATTGCCTCTTGGTTATGTATTTATCGTATCGCAGGACTTTTACTCCCACTCGAACTGGGTGGAGATGGGCCACAAGGAGCCGAACGCCGGGCTGGCCGTCCCCGGGGCTGACATCGGGAGGGTTGCCGCCCCAGACACGCCCACCTGCGAGGACTGCAGCAAGACCCTGGGATTCCTCTGGTAGTACTGTACCTTCTCTGTTTGTGTACTAGTAACTCAGGCGAATTAGAAGTAACATGATTGTGATATCTAAGGACTTACTACGAGTCATAATAATAACTTTATTGCACAACAGTTGTACATGGTACAAAGTATGGCAAAACTTATCTATAAACTTAACTATGGACTAAACTAACTAATACAGGAGTTTGTGGCTGATATAGGATGTGAATGAACTTTTACAATATTGGAGGAATTTCTTATGTCTAGACATTGTTTGATATACATTCCTATATCTACCATACATGAGTTATCACAGGTCATTATTATCTTAAATTTGCCATCGATGTAAATTCTGGTACATATGACGATAGTTTCGTATTTAATGAATTGCGTACATCAACATACTTAGGACATTCCATCAAAAAGTGATACTCATTTTCAACTAGTTCTGGGCAGAATGGACAAACCCTCTGGTCAGTAGGAAGCCTTTGAAATCTTCCGGTTTCTATACTGAGTTTGTGACATCCAATTCTGAGTTTTGTGATTGCTCGACGTATGTCAAAGCTCCTTATGTTAGAAAGGTAATTTTCTTGCTTGTAATTCTTGTCTAAGGTGGAAAGGAAAGATAATTTAGAATTGTTTCGAATGGCACAATGCCAGTTTTGTATATAGATATCTTGTAAACGTTGCTTCAGCTGAGTAGTAATTGAGTCTATGTGATATGACTTCGGGTTAAGCCATATGTGCCCAAAACCATTGAGGTTCAGAATGTCTTTCACATGTATAATCCAATCATGTTCTCCAAGCAAGGTAGTATTGTATGCCTCCCGAAGCAGGGCATCTTCGGATAAAT